TATATATATATATATATATATATATATATATATATATATATATATATATATATGTACTCACACACACACACACACACACACACACACACACACACACACACACACACACACACACACACATATATATATATATATATATATATATATATATATATATATATATATATATATATGTGTGTGTGTGTGTGTGTATGATTGGTAAATTGTTAGATAGATAGTTGGGTTATTTGATAGATTATTATATAGTGGGGTTGTTAGATTGTTAGATAGGTTGTTAAATAGTTTGTTGGGTTGTTGGGTAGTTTGATTTTTAGATAGTTGGGTTGTTGAATAGTTAGTTGGCTTGTTAAATAGTTGGATCTTTACATAGTTTGTTAGATAGTTAGGCTGTTAGATAGGTAGATGAGTTGTTAGATTGTTAGATAGTTAGATAGGTTGTTAGATAGTTTATTAGATAGTTGGTAGATAGATGGGTTGTTAGATACATTACATTGTTAGATATTTAGTTGGATTGTTAGATAGATTGTTAGGTAGTTGGATTGTTAGATAGTTGGATTGTTAAATTCATCGTTAGATAGTTGGGTTCTTAGAGTTTTAGATTGTTGGATTGTTAGATTGTTAGGTAGTCGGGGTGTTAGATAGAATGTTAGATATTTGGTTTATCTGTTTTTTAGATGGGTTGTTAGCTGTGTGTTTCTGTGTGTGTGTGTCTACGTATGCGTGTGTTCACAACTATTTGTGCGTATATGTGTATGTCTATATATCCCTATGTCTGTAGCTTCATAAACGTACATACATATGCAAATATATATACATATATAGGAATATATATATAGGTAAATAAATGGGAAATTGATATATTTGCATTTTTATATAAATCAGTAAATAAAGACTTATATACATATATATGTATATATATATATATATATATATATATATATATATATATATATATATATATATATATATATATATATATATATATATATACAACACAAGAACGCATGTGTATATCTATATGTACATAAGTGAATATATACATGTATATGCGTGTGTGTGTGTGTGTGTGTGTGTGTGTGTGTGTGTGTGTGTGTGTGTGTGTGTATGTATATTGTATATGTATATGTATATATATATATAATTTATGTACATAATTTATATATATATAATATATATATACACACACACACATGAACGTAATTCATGTGTTTCACGCCATCTTATGACAGATAGTAATTAATACAAATAGTGTCCTAAGATTTCAATTGTTATAAGTGCGACATATTTTTTCTATTGCATAATTTCTTCTCTTTTCTTTTACAATCTTTTGGAAAGCTGTGGAAAGTATAATTTCTTTTGTTTTTGTAGATAGTATTGCATGATCAAGCAGCTCCTTGAACTATCATTAAATAGATATATCCATGAAAACACTTTTAAAATACCTTGCAAAATGCTAGGCGTAAATTAAAGGGGCGGAGCTAATGACGTCACCGCGTTTAACGGTGCCAGAAATCACAAGACAAGTAATTTCTTGTATGTTTTATTTACAATATTTGAAAGTGAAATCATCTAGGAAAAAAGTCACTTTATTTTTTTGGTTCAATAGACTAAGTGAAAGTGGGAGTATCCATCTTTAAATACTTTGCTACACACACACACACACACACACACACACACACACACACACACACACACACACACACACACACACATGAACCTCTTTCACTCTCCACAACGCCTCACTTCTATCCACCTCCTCCTTCTACAGTGTCTTCGGGGCCAACGCCAAAGGTCTCGACTGCGGCGATGAGGTGGCTGCATGGATGAGCCAAGCGATCTCAGCTGGAGACACCGAAGTTCGACTCCTGTACAACGGCGAGGACCCCCTGACCCAGCGCAGCGCCAGGCGGGCTCCTTACTACGACTTCAGGCACATCCGGGACTCCGATAAGGTTGGTGGTCGGGGAGGATGGGGAGGGGAGAGACGGGGAAATATATAGACACATACAAGTATACATACTTATTGAGATTATATATATATGTATATATGCATTCACTATGTTATATTATTGTTAATTATAGTATTTAAGAACATTCCTCTTAACCATTGACTATTTATGTCATATGCATTGCTGTTTCAAAATCATTTCTCAGGAATAGGTTTACCAACCAACAAAGTTAGAAGATTAAAGAAGATACCGAAAGGACTTATATATAGCAAATTGATTCTTACATTTGCCTGTGCATTGGTGTAATGTGAGAAAATTCGTCATTTTGGTGCAAAGTTAAGACAGGAATCTTTGAAGAGATGCACTGCAAACTACAGCTTCATAGATTATTTGTTGAGTTAGCAGCAGCAAAGCAGGGAGAGTGGGATTCTAGTGCTGCCACCATTTATGAAAAACCTGATCAGGGTTTCAGGATAATAAACATAAACCCAGAGGAGGTAAATAAAAAAGTGGGATGAGGTGAGGCATTTGTTTGAATTTGTTTCCTTAAC